CTTTTCTGTGTCCTTTTTTGTATGACGGCAAATGTAATCCCAAACTTACTCTACTCTTATTGGCTAGAATTACATATACACTATGTTAGAATGTATAGAATAATTATCTAATTTGTACATATTTGACAAAAACATAAATGATCGATTTAAGGTGTTATTAAGGACAGGGTTTTATTCAGTATTCAGGTATTTAATAAGTTTACCCCAAACCCTATATGAGTAAATTATGGTTGAATGAACTGTAATATATTAAGGCTTTTTAGTGGGTTTTCTGCACAGTTTGAGGGTTTTTGTCTGTCTTGAAATTTACAAAATAACATATGTACCCTTTAATTTGAACCTTTCATTTCCAATTAAGGTGTAAATAGAGGGATTCACCCCACATTTGGGGTTAATTAATAAATAAATGAATAGATTATAATATATGAAGAGGTTTTTATAGTTAATCTCCAAATATTAAGTCCAAATAGCATGAAAACCACCATAGAATCATCATTTTAATTGAAAAATTAAGGCCCTTTTAAGATGTAAATGAAGGATCCTCCAGCCCCTGCCGGTGACCACTGTAACGCTGTGAAACGAAGGCTGTCAGGGGAAAGTGCTCTTACAGGGGTTTCACCCACAGCAGATGAAGTTGTAAATCCACTGCAGTGTCTGAGTGACACATCAGAACGAAGGCTGCACCAATTACACCAGGGAGAGCTGGGACGGTTCGCTCAGGGCATGTCTCGTTATTTCCACAAGTCAAATAAATAAATAATGAATAAAGAAATTATATTGTCAACTGTTCCAAGCCCCTGCCGGGTAAGCAGAAATTATTTGCAGTTCTTTAGTCACCGGGACAGGAGAGAGACTCCATTTTCACTCAGATAGACATGTAGAGGAAAATGTGACCTTACTCAGTAGTTATATTATTTGCATTGTTTTCTTCATCTGACACTGCAGGTGTCTGCCTGTAGTGCTGCAATTTGATGAAATCCTTATTGCAAATTCACAAGTAGCTGTAAAAGACAGATCATTCTATCATTATTTTTTAACTGACCACCATGTGCACGTGTGTCTCCACTATATGAGGCTGATATGATTCCACATGCTCTCACGGAATAAGTGACAGCAGGAAATGGCACCCGCTGTCAGATATTAGACACTTTAATAACCAATCACAAGCTTGTATTGAATTAAATTTCCTGGAATTTAAAACCAATCCAAAACATCATTTTGAGTTAAAACTCCTTACAGTGAAGAAGATTTTAGCTGCTTCACTTTGGTAACTCATTGCAATGCAGCAGCTTTCCTATGGGGGGCACAATGTGAACAAGCAAGATTAGGATAACCAACAGAGCCTGGAGATAAAAGAGGACTACAGTAGGTGCAGCTCACCTCGGCCCCGTGCATTCAGACTCACCTCTCTGATTCATACGTTGTGCAGTGGTGGCAGTGAATGGCAGGGCTGTAGACCAGGACAAGGCCACTACAGGAGTCGTCAGATGAGGTTAAAAGGGATGGCAGTGGCAGCCGTTGTTATGTATACACTATAAGTCTATCTACTTTAGTTTTGTGGCTGTTTTTCATGGTTTTGGCTGGGCCCTTTAGTTTTAATAAAGATAAATCTTAGCACTACATCATATGATTACATTTTTTTTGGTTGTGTGGTTTCCAGCTGTAGCAAAAGCCTTCTCCTGTTTTAACATGATTATGCCCCCCGTGCACAAAGCCAGTTTGGTGTGGAAGAACTGCACAGAGCCTAGACCTCAACCGCATCCAACACCTTCCGGATGAACTGGAACATAGACTGAGCCAGATTTTATCGCTCAACATCAGTGCTGGACCTCACTGATGCTCTTGTGGGAGCAAATCCCTGCAGCTAAAATGTTTTTTATACTTTAGTGACCAAGTTAGATTTCTAATCAGTTTTGCCTTCTTACAATTTTTATACAATATTATATGTTTTTAAAGAAAATAATTAAATGCGTGTATTAAAACACAAACATACTGTGCTTAAGTATTTCCAAAAAGAAAAATTTGATAAATTTAAAGAAAAGAAAATTACAAATGATGAATTACATATATGATCGCCCTGTTGATTTGATTGATCATCCATATTGATCATTTATGCAATCAGTTAGACATTCTGTCCATTACACCGGCTGCTTCTCAAGGTTGTACCTCTATTATGTAATTCTTATTATTGTATTTTTATTCTTATTTGCCCCAGTCAAATGGCATAATATTCTATTTAATTATGCCTTCATATTCACGGTTTACTCTCAGATGTTCATATTATTGTTTTTTAATTCTAATGCTCCGTTAACACCCATTGTTTTAAAATGACATGCTCAAATGTCACATATTGGTGTACTGTTCAGTTGTCCACATACTTTTGGCTACGTAGTATATATGATAATATGTGCATGTAGTTTGTTATGTGTGCAGGTTAAGTGTGTTATATGTTCTGTCTGCATATTGCAAGATAAGCCTATAGAATATGTGCAAATACTGCATGGACACAGGTGTGTCTATATTCATCTGCATAATGTATTTATTATATGCATGGGCATTTTCAGGTTTGTATGTCCGGTATTTTCATGGTTTTGTATGTTTGCAGCAGATATGTTTGCATTTGCATGTTTGACTGTGTGTGTGTTTGTGTGTGTGTGTGTGTGTGTGTGTGTGTGTGTGTGTGTTGAGCGGTGAGTAACAGAGGGCTGAGCTCAGCCACTTGGGGTCGATTATGATATACATCTGCGTCTGACCTGGGCTCATAACCCTGCCACTTTAGAACACGACATTATGAATAAACAATCTCATTCCTGGAAAGCCACACTGGCTGCTGAAGAATGGCCTCCTTTCAGATTAATGACTGCAATGGTCTAATCAGATGAAAAAAGGGGCTGCCTGGGGCAGGGAAATGACTGTCCATTTTCACAGGTAATTTGCTTAATGCCCCCTTATTAAGATCAGCATTGTGATGCTGCGCCACAGTGGCAGACCGACAGCCACGTTGGGTTTGCTCATGAAATACAGCTCCATCCGCTTTCCTCTGGGGCACAATTCCTAGTTATTATATTTCACCCCAGATCACTTGTAATTATCACAGATTTAAGTGTTGTCTCCACAATTAGCCTGCCCCTGCATCGTATAAACCCCACTGGCTCACGCGTGTGGAGTAAACATCTCTCCCTTCAAAAATGCAAGTGCTTTGTTTCCAAAAATGTCATGATCCCAGCTCGCTCTCTGTTCACTCGGAGCGCCATGCCAATCAAGCCCAACATCAAGACGGGGCTTTGATTTAGCATCCCAATACGCTGGTGGTGCTGTACCTCTACCGGCTGTGGCTGTGTCGCTGGCGGGAGCTTGCGTCCTCAGTGGGGACAGTTTCCTTCCTGCTGCTGAAATGTGACTCGGGGTGACAAGCTGTTAGCCAGGAGCAACTGGGGTAGCAGTATGTCGCCGGTTAGGCCTCCCCGCATATTATGAGTCTAGACAGTGGTGACAAATACTAAAGAGGAGAATGAATCAATAGAAATATATCAGTGTTTGAGTCAGGATTGTCTGGGAGGGGGTCAAATGTGCTTTTATGACTCCCTAGTTCTTTTCCAGGGGGTCACTACTCCACCAAAGCCAGACGATAAATAATAATCTGAAAACTGTACACCGCTGGGTTATTAAAGCGATATGAGAGCTGATATTGGACATATTACAGTAGAACATGGCACTGTCATGGAACATGGAACTGGTGGCTCAGATGGTAGAGAAAGTCATCTAATGATTGCAGCGTTGGCGCTTCAATCCCTGCCTCCTACTGTTCACATGGTTCATGGCTGGTGAGGCACTGACTTCATCAGAATCAGATTTATAAATGTAGCCCTCCTACTCAATTCTAATTTGTAACAGAATGTTTACCTTGATTACTTTTAAACAATTTAGCATGGGAGGTGAATTGGTAGGAGCCTACTAAATATGAAATGTCTATGCATTTACTTCGACTAGATAATCTGATTTTCACTGCAGGGTGCAGAGAGGCCAAGTTCAGAGAACTCCCATGCATACTTTTTAATAACCACTTTCCTTTTCAGTCATAAAACACAATGTTTACTCCATTTGCAACATGAATAATTAGTACACACCCAGTTTCAATTAAAAAAGATAGGGGAACATTTATTCAACATGACCCAAATAAAAATGTAAATAAAACAAATAAAAAACCCGGGTTTTTTAGTTTGTTCAGTTTATGGTACCATGCATGCTGGCGCGCAGTTGGACCTCATTTGCAGATCCTTTTTGATTCCACTCACACTCCTTTGTCCAGTGGTTAGTCCCTGTAGGAGAACCCAGCTCCTCACATGCACGTGCTACGTCCTTCTCCTCCCGACTAGCAACGGTAATGTTCATCCGCAAGCAACAGTCTACACGAAGCTAATGCTAGTTAGTACAGTCCATACAGGCTTCAGTTTATGCGTTTGTTCAGCACTCACACCAAACTTGTCGTCTTCGTCCTCTCAGCAGAGTCCAGACTCATAAAAACCCTCGGCGTTATTAATTAAAGAAATAAAACAACTTTAACAACACTTAACGTTAACAAACTCATGAACAGCAACAAACTCATGAACAGCAGTCTCTCTCTCTCTCTCTCTCTCTCTCTGTCTCTCTCGTACGTCTCCGCTCCGTTACTCTCTTAATCCCGCCCTCTCACAATCCGGTAGGTTACCTTATACTCATCTCTAATTGAGATTGACACCTGAATAAACAACAAAAACATACAGCAGGAGGTGTTTGAGAGGGGAAAAAATTATCGCTGCACTTGACTCACTAATAGTAACCACGGACTGTAAGACATAGACATAATATACATAGACGCCTCATAGACTGACGCTGCCTATTGGAGCTGACGTATCAGCGCGGCCGCCATCTTGGATGGGTCTCCAATGCACCCGCCCTGCATTTATTTCTACTGAGGAAGGTGTATCCCCAACTACAGTAATCATAACTCCCCGAATTTTTACCGGATTTTCACACGGTTTGGTTTGTTACAAACGGCAGAGATTTAGTTATGATACAGGACGCTGTCACACATTGAAAAATACATGCTTTCATGCTAAAAGACTTTGTATTATCCTCTTTAACAAAGACATATGGTAGGCTATGGCATATTGATAGATGTATAAATGAATTAATTTTATATTTTAATAAAGAAACAAGTTTGATTGTTCATTTGAATTTATTTCGCACCATCTCTAAGCCTGACAATCTGACCCGTCCTGTCAAAGTCATCAGGCTTGAAGTGCTCACTACAGAGCTTTGACGACTCAGTTGCAACAAAACCCTCCCGTCTTATAGCAACTTCCCATTGGCTCCTCAGGCCTGTATCACTGGGAAACCTTCAAAATGTGAAAAAAAACCAGCAAGAGACAATGAGAGAGAGAACCAGTTCCTGCTGTAGTTAGTTACGATGACATAATATTATAAATGGTAAAATAACCAAAATTATTGTTCAGTCTGACTGGTGAAAATACGTTGCGTGCACCTGTCTGTCTGTCTGTCCCCTCTCTCTCTCTCTCTCTCCACCCCAACGGGAGACAGACGACCACCCACCAGAGCCGGAGGATCGTCCAGGTATCTGCCTTTTAACAGGCAGTTTTTCCTTGCCCTTGTCTCCAAGTGCTTGCTCATGGTGGTACTGTTGGGTCTCTGTAATTAATGTTAAAGAGTTCGGTCTAGACCTGCTCTATTTGAAAAGTGTCCTGAGATAACTTCTGTTATGAATTGGCGCTATACAAATAAAATTGAATTGAATTGAATTGAATTGAAAAGGTAATCCCACGCGATCTGGTATCAATGCTGCGCCGGTTATTGCAACCGTAAGCTGCACAAAATACGGGTATAGTTGCTCGTTCTCCGTTGACTCTGATTGACTCTGGTGCTAGCGTAGAGTGATACGTTCCAGCACGTCATGAGGCGTCTACATATATTATGTCTATGCTGTAAGATGCTAGCTCGCTGTCACCTACTCTGCAGGTGCGGCGTAGCATAATCTCTGGGCTCACGAGTGCCCCCTACCATGAGGCAAGTGAACTGCCTGCCTCACCTAGTGCCTCTTCACTGCCGTTGTAAGATCGCTGAGCACACGAAACAGGTTACACACACATATATTATATACATCAGCTAAACTATGGAAAGTCAGGGGGGCATATATTAAAAGTGTTTGAAACATTTGATTAGCAACATACAGACAGACAGTAACACGCTCTTATTGCATGGCAGAGCACAGTTTGTGAGGGATTGTGCGTCTCTTCCCCATCGCTGAATGCGAAAATTCAGCGATGTTTTATAAAAACAATCAAAATTGTTTAAGTTAAATGGAAAATTAGTTCATAGTTCAAACTATTTGATAAATATAACCATTTAATTTATTTGTTTATTATATATTACATTTTTTCCATGATGACAGGAAGGCCAGGGGAGGCACTGCCGCACGTCACTGGAAGTGTCCATGGGCAAGACACTGAACCTCAGTTTGCTCCCCAGCCACTGTGGGAACACAAGCCAGTGCTTTCCTACTTTTCAGTTCCAAGATTGGATAAAGGGAAACACCTGGAATTTGGTTAAACTGACCAAAACTCCTGGAAATAATTTATGTTATCCTGGAAAATTATAATGATATTTTAGCTCATTGCCTACATAAACCTAGGTACATATTAAATTTGAAACTTGACTGTTGGTAGGATAAGCGGCACACTATGACACTTCAAAGCTGGTTTAGCAAGCGCAGAACAAAAATATGTTCCTTTTTATTTGGCTCCCCTGTGAGGCGGAACGGGCTTGCAGCGATCTTTTCTGCACCCAGTCTATTTGTGCCAGAGCCATAAGCAGAATTCTGAGTAAGCCCATTGGAAATGCTGTACATGTTCAAGGCTTTTCCACCTTTAGCTTTGTTTTCATCTCACTCAGATTTTTTGTTTTTTTAACAAATTTCACCCCAGAGATCAATGAAGTATTTCTGATTCTTATTCTGATCTACATGCATATAGCCTATTGATGATCACGTTTGTTGTTGTGGCTGTTAAATACATGCACAGCGATGTTAAACGTAACAAACAGATGTTACGCTGTGGCGTTCCCTATGGGAAGCAAGCCAAAAAAGCATAGAACTAATTTTATTTTGTTTACACCAATAAGTAATACATATATAGGATTTTAAAAGTAAAAGTACACCCATTTTTTGTCAGGACTGTGCCACTGACAAATGTTTTATCAGTATTTAGCTTGAAATTGACTTCAGTAGCTCAACTCGTGTCAAGGTGAGTCCTTACTGCAGCGTCTGGGTTCCGAGTCCAACCTGAGGCCATCGGCTGAGTGTTCTCCCCTCTATCTCCCCTGCTTTTCTTTAAAACTAAACCAATTTACTGTAAACCACACTCCCAAATCAGAGTTGGAAAGAGTCCATGTGTTTTGTGCTGTTCACACTGATCTGAATCAGATATCAGCAAAAAAAAAGTCTGATTTGTACTTGCAGTGTGAATGTAGCCTTGGATACACAAAGCTAGATTACTGTAACATTTTACTTACTGTAATCTCCTAAATTCAAGCCATATCCCCAGGAAGAACACCTAAAATAACATACCCAAAATGAATCAGGAATATCTCCATGTTGCTGACATCTGCATGTTTTTTTAGAGATATAGAGAAAATAAAGCTATTTTCCAGAGTAACTGACGATGTAATAAAGGAAAAACTAAGATTTTTATCCTCGCCTAGTATAAAATCTAGTTTATATGCACTGTGATTACAGTAAAGCAGTCAATTAAAAATCTCAGGCTCCCTCCAACAACATTCAGGAAAATCACGTAAGTAAAACTGAAAGTCAAAGATGTTGAAGTTAAAATATATATATATATATATATATAACCATTATAACCATTATCCCATTGATACTGATGCAACTGATTGTCTTCCCCCACTCCTTGTTTACTCAACTTTTTCATACAAACATGCCTTCACATGTGTTATATGTGAGTACTTAGCCAAGTCTTCAGCCTGAGCCTGCACCTCCAGAGAGTCCCTGTGCTGTGGAAGACGTCCTGCCTCTTTCCTGTTCCAAAGACGCCGCGTCCCAGCAGCCCTCAGGACTATAGACCGGTGGCTCTGACGTCCCACATCATGAAGACCCTGGAGAGTCTCGTCCTGGAGCAGCTAAGGCCTATGGTCAGGCCCTTCACCGATCCACTGCAGTTCGCCTACCAGCCCCGCCTGGGAGTTGAGGACAGCATCATCTACCTGCTGAACAGAGTCTACACTCACCTGGATAAGCCGGTGAGCACTGTGAGAGTCATGTTCTTTGATTTCTCCAGTGCTTTCAATACCATCCGTCCGGCTCTACTGGGTGAGAAGATGGCTGCGATGCAGGTGGAGGCCCCCATTGTGTCCTGGATTGTTGATTACCTGATGGGCAGACCACAGTACGTACGCCTACAGAACTGTGTGTCTGTCAGGGTGGTCAGCAACACTGGGGCCCCACAGGGGACTGTCCTCTCTCCCTTCCTCTTCACCCTCTTCACCTCAGACTTCAACTATTGCACCGAGTCCTGCAACCTTCAGAAGTTTTCTGATGACTCAGCAATAGTTGGCTGCATTGAAAAGGGTGATGACAGTGAATACAGGACTGTTGTGGGCAACTTTGTCACTTGGACTGAGCTGAATCATCTGCAGCTCAATGTGACAAAGACTAAGGAGCTCACAGTGGATCTGAGGAGGGCAAAAACACCTGTGACCCCTGTTTCCATCCAGGGGGTCCCTGTGGACACTGTGGAGGAGTATAAGTACCTGGGGGTGTACTTTAATAATAAGCTGGACTGGACTAGAAACACAGAGGCGGTCTACAAAAAGGGCCAAAGCCGACTCTTTTTCCTAAGGAGGCTGAGGTCCTTTAACATCTGCCGGACGATCCTGAGGATGTTCTATGAGTCTGTTGTGGCCAGTATGATCTTCTTCGCTGTCACATGCTGGGGCAGTGGGCTGAGGGTCGCTGACAACAACAGACTAAACAAACTGATCAGGAGGGCCGGTGATGTTGTAGGGGAGGAGCTGGACACCCTGACGACCGTGGCAGAGAGGAGGATGCTGTCCAGGCTTCAGTCCATCTTGGACAATGTCTCTCACAACACACTGGCCCAGCAGAGGAGCACCTTCAGCAGAAGACTCCTCTCACCCAGATGCACCACAGAGCACCACAGGAAATCATTCCTGCCTGTGGTCATTAAACTCTACAACGCCTCCCTCAGAGAGTCAGACACCCCCCCTCTCTAATTCTGACTCAAAACATAGACAATCATTATTTTGCACTTTTTGCACATTAATACTGTACATTGATCTTGTATATATATATATATAGATATATATATATATATTTATATTTTTTGTGCTGAATGTTGTATATATATATGTTGTTGTTTTGTAGTGTAAAAAAAAAAGTAACAAAAATAATTTCCCCCTGGGATTATTAAAGTAATTCTGATTCTGATTCTGTCGTATGTTCACATAACAAAATGAAACAACACATAAAACCAAAAATCAATTAATAACAACAACAGAACAACAATTAATAAAACTTTGCAAGGCTAAATATACAATAAAAACAAAATGTAAAACCCCCAAAATTAAAGTCAGTAGAAAAATAAACACCAGGGAAACAAATAATGAAAAACCAATGATTAAAACCTAAACTAGTCCAAAGTAAAAGCCAGATTAAAAAAATAGGTCTTTAATTTCCTTTTGAAAATACTGATAGAGCTTGTCGTTCTAATATACAACTGTAACTGTAAAAAAACACTAAAATACAACCTTCATGATACAATCTACAAAGACTCAGGTGGACTCCATGTTTTGGACCTGTATACTGTTTCTATGTTGACTATTTACTGGGATTTCAACTTCGAAACACTGTTAATTATCCCAAATCTTTTTTTTTATACGAGAGAGCCCAAATTACATGTTCTGCATCTATTTTAACTCTATGTTTTGCATTTTTACATTATTATTATTATTATTATTATTATTATTATTTAAGTAAGAAAGATAAATTAAATACATATGTGCTGTGTAGCTGTGTACTAATGGTAACAATGAAACAACTCTCGTCTGACAAATGAAGCTGAAGATATCATATGATCTAAATCTATCCTCTTGCTCTAAGTGGGTTTCAGACTACAGACAGCCCTGCTTTAAAACAGAGCAGGGGGCTGTGTTGGCTACCACTGACACAATGATGTAGCTTGACTGACTGGATAAGTAAATGCTGATATAGCTTTTAAAAACTAAAAATGAGAAGCCTGCTAACAGCATTGATCCTGCTGTTTATTTAATGGGGGCCAATTGGCCGCAAGGAGGTTGCAGTTGATGAAACATTTTGTGTTGCCATCACTGCAGTGGCTCAAACCCTGATATATACAGTACATAAATACATGCTCTGCTCATCTGTAATCTTACAGTTGCTGATTCAATCATTACTCAGATAAAGGTGGAATGAAAACAACTGGAGAGCAAAAACAAGGCCCTCATGGTTGCCTTTTGACAAAGGAGTAAAATTGGCTACAAACTGAACAAACCAAAATTCAATACTTGCAGAGAAAGCTAACCAAGCCTTTACTCTGCAGAAACAAGCAGCAACAATCATTCCTCTCTTTGGACTAATCTGATTTACATGGGAGAAGTTTGAGGAGGCCTACTTTCTCGCGCTGCCACATTTCCAAGGCACAAATGTCATAATAAGGGCAGACGGCCGTATGAATTTTGAGGAGAGGTAACTTTATTGAATTTACAACTTCAGGCTCCCCAGATTAAGCAGATAGCGAGGCTTGCAGGCGGGCTGAATCGGGATGAAACAGACGAGGTGTAGCGATGTATTTGTATTCACAGGGCCCTGCTCAGGTGTTCAGAGATCTACAGCAAAGCCTGTCAGATCAGCTTTGGCACAGGAGAAAGGACAAATGTTTTGTCAGGATATAGAATTCCATTGGACCTCCTTGGGCTCAGAAAGCCATTTAAACCCCAATTTCAGTGCTCAC